AACGTCCTGCCATCATATAATAACCATTTGCAGTCTTCTCTACTTGCTTCCTCAGGAAATCAACATCACCGGAAAAGACTTTTGTATTTACTGTTCAGAAAAATTGCATTTGCTAGCTTTCTAGCAAGAATGCAAAGTTTCTGAAGGGTAGAAAAGCTAGCACCCAGAAGGCAAGAGCTTACTTTCCCCAGGCCAACACAGCTATTTTCTTCTGCACAATGAGGGGAGAAGAATCATCTTGCTGGCCCAGAAAAAGGCAATTCAGACCTTCAGGATCCAAGTTTCCTTTCTCTGGTTCAGTCTGGCAGTTCCCTTTCACACATGGAAGACAGGGGAAGGTTTGCGGTAGACTGGAGAAATGAAGCTTGGCTCTTTGGGATCCAATCTTTGTTTTTCCAGCACAGCACAGGATTTCCCTTCTGCGCATGGAGGAGAGCTGCCTGCCCTCTTTTAGCAGGCAACTCTTTCACTTTGCCTGCTTACTGACCACTACTATGAGGGCCTGGTTTGCAGTTGTTGAATGAGGCAGACACATAGGCACCTCACTAAATGATTCCAATGAATTAAACCAAAATTCCAGGCCTAACTGTAATTGTAAGTTGAGGACTACCCCATACCATTATGAATGAATAATAGAGAAAGGGGTCCTATTTATCTGATATTAACTCCATATTTTCAGAGGAAAGCACAGTATCATACATCTCCACCTAAGAAGTCTATATAATGATTGTGACAAAGTTAATTTATTTGTATAATTAATATGCTGGTTGCACTGCTTTCCTATATAATGTAATACTGTTATAATAATACATAATGGCTTGTGGCCATCTCTTAATGGAAATTGGCATAAGAAAATATACTAGTTTAAAGGCCACATATTAAAGATTTTTTTGGTCAGAGTAACAAAAAAGATTTTTTTAATAATATCTGTTGAGACAATTAGGGTGTGTTCAAATCTCACTTCATACAAATAGCCAATTGGAATTACCAATATACGTCTTATTGCTAACATTAATAGAAAAATTCTGATTTAGTTCTTGAAAGTAGGATTTGGAAAGCACAAAATTCAACAGGAAACTATGAGAGTAAGTCAACTTGCATGAGTGACAATTATTAAAGCACTTAGCAGAGAATACTGCTAATCCTCCATTTTCTTTCCAACCCATAGTTAAGCAATGTTCACCAGAAATTAGATAAGTGATATGATCATATCTCACATGTGTAGAGCCATGGCGGGGGGGGAAGCAGACTCTTTGTTGGGTCTGCTTAAAAAAGTCAAGAGAACTTGTAGAGCAGTATGAAGCAAATGTTAGTCTGATTTACTGGAAGCTTTTCAAGTAGGTATGCTTTATCAGTTCTCACCAAAATGAAAATTGTATACATTAAAGAGAAGGTCCCCAGTTAATCAAAGAACTTCAGCTTAAAATTACATCTAGGAAAATGAAATTCTGCGATCTAAATGCTAGCATCTATTTTTAAAGATTATGCCAACAGAAGTTGGTTTATTTATATTTCAAAATACAGTACAAAAAGAGACAAATACCAGTTCTCATAATACCAGAAAATATAATTGCTGGCAAATTCTCGGGAAAGTCCTGAGGATGTTTGTATTCAATTCACGTTAGTAAAAAGTAAGATAGTCTTAATTCAAACAATATTTTGGGTGGAAGTGACCCAACAATTTACATTTCCGCACTTCCCCATTTTGTGCAGCATTCCTCTCAATTTCCTGATTAGTATTTTTTTTTCCCAGCAAAGCAAAACTGTTGTGAATGAGCAGAGATAACTGGGAATAGCTTCCAAAGTAGCCCCTCCTAAGCACTCTGAAGAACAGTTTAAAGGATTTTTACAACATTAAAAAACCAAGGAAGTTTCATATGTAAAGTACATTTACTACCCACATTTCAGCATATAAGGCATAATAGTAACCTAGAGATAAAGCTAAGCAGGAAATAGAAACCTCACTCAAAATCAAGAAACAAGCATGCAAACCTACAGCTTGCGTCCTACTTTGCATCCAGAAGAGTGCAGAAGTGAACAACTTTTGTGAGGCTGAGGGCCAATTGGTTTTTTATGTGTTGCATCAGGAAAAACACTGCTACATGTGCAGAATGAGGATAAAAAAACTGGGTGGGACCAAATGTAAATTTAATTTTAATTTTAAATTCAATACAAAGTTAATATGATTACTTCTCACATATATGAACATTTCTCAAAGTGGAATATTAAAATTCCAATTCTGTGGCAACTTTTGTAGGGTGTGCCTATTTTTAGGAGGTTGTATATGGCCCAAAGAACAACATCTGTTCATCTCCTATTTGGAGTTTATATGTTTTCAGTTTTAGGAATGAATCCATTTGTATCTTTGTACTCAAAAATTGAGGAAATTATTTGAGAAAATTCTAATCTTTATTTTAAAGTGTGTTATGTTTTTGTAATCTAATTCAAGTAGAATAGAATATATTAACCACAATAGTATGAAGATGCAGCTGGGAGTAAGTCTGTATGTAATGGGAATTATGTATGCTATGAAAATAATATAAGATTATTGCCAGAGTGGCACCATAATTACACAACTTACATTCTTAAGATTGTTTTTCTTTTGGAACTAAATATACATGAATCATATAGTTGGCATTTTTATGGATCAGAAATTGTTCAAATATTAACCTACTTATATACAAAGGCTTCCATTTCAGTTGATCTTGGCATACTTTAGAAGATCAGACCAACTGAAACAATTACAATTTCATGGTGGCTCTAAGAATGCACCCTGGTGAAATATGAACTAAATAATATTTGGCTTTCAGATGCCAGTCTGTGGATTATTCACAAATTTGTATTTTGGTGTTTTGGGCTTGTTCATATTTCTCCACTGATGGAGGAAATATGTGGAATGGGTTATCTGTAATCATATAGTTACCACGTTAGAAATAAAACAACATCCATCAAGTAGTAGCAATTAAAGTGCTGCAGGAACATTTTGCTTCTGTACCATATTTAATTCAGAAAACTTTAAAACATGTTGGAGAAGGGAAGAAATAAAACACAAGCCTATTACCTTCTAAACCAAGTATTTCCACGATCCTTTGAAATAGAATACTTGCAGTTATCCACAAATAATGTTACATTTTTGCAGTAGTCTAGACTTTTACACCATAAAATTTTCTTCTGAACTAAGCAAAGCTTTTCTTTAAAGAAAAAATCAGTATATTGTGCTGACCAAGTAAATACATTGTTTTCAGTAATAATGTTACATATTTAAGACTGATATCTTCGATGAGATCTCTGACAGTTTATCAACAAACATGAAATGTTCTGTTCTTGATGAGATTAACATTAGACAGATCAGTTTTTCAATAAAAGGTTTATCAAATAAATTTTCCAACAGAAATCTGCATAATGGAATGAAGATAAGAAATAAGAGCTTCTAACTTCTTAATAAGACTTAAATAAAAAATAATCCAAAGTTTCAGGATTTATTCCACATTTTCAAGGTCCAATTAGTGCCACACCTAACAGATGCTATATATAAAACACAAGAGAAAAGCTTAAGCAATTAGTGTTTTTCCAATTAGTTCTGACTGAATGGATGTTAACAAATATAAGAAAAATAACTTAGATTTCACAAATAATTCAAAGTGTTGTATTTTAAAGCATTTTTTGTAACTTCATCCATTCATAAACAAAATAGGAACCTACAGTTGGATGGGCTTTAGCTGAGCTAATGGCATGCAGCAATACTGCTTCAAAGTAATATTCATACACTATCCAATACTCAATTGATCACTTCTACTTTGTTTTTTTTCTGATGTTTTACATTTCACAGTGTTCTCAAACATGTTAAGAATTTTTCATTTTCAGAAGCTTGCTCCAGAGCATGATACTCTTAAAAGGAGAAAGTGATATTGATGCATCCAGTTGTGTTATTCAATCGTTCTTACCTTTTCAGAATTCAGGGATAAGCAAAGCCTCAAAGACAAGGCTCATTCTCAGCTAGTTTTATCCTTGCTGAAAATGGAAGCAATCTTAATGACTCTATCTAGCAGAACATGCCAGATATGCTAATGTGTCTAGGGGGAGGGGCAGAAAGAGGGAACCCTCTTACCAAAGATACATGCCATGCTTTTATTAAAGATGTTTTACAACTATGGGTAACAGCCAAGAGTCTCTACCAAAGCAAGAAATGTAATAATAGTTTTTTTAAAAAAAAAGACAGGGATGTCAATTTATATCCTTAGTGTCCCCTATTCTTTTAGAAGCTACTGTACAGCCTACCTAGTTTCCAAACCCGGTATTAAGAGGATTTTTAATGTATTCCTGACACTCTGACCTCTACTGTCAAGCTTCCACCAATCAGGGGCTGGCATTTCTTACAAAGCTCCATCAATCTGGTGATTTAACATCACACAGACTGCAGCTTAATCTAGAGGATTCCATTTTTCCTCCTGCACACCAAGGCAGTGCACCATTATATAAGCCTGTTTCTTTCTTCTCTCCCAGCTGCCTCTTCTGCGATCTTCCAAATGCCCGCCTTACAAAAGGACATGGAGAAAAACATCAGCACTCATACTACAGCCGTGCGTGTGTGTGTGTGCACATACACGAAAAAATGCACTCACTCCAGAATGCGGATCTTATTTTCTTCATGCAAAAAAGAAAAAGAAAATAGGAGGGGGAGCTGGAAAATAGGGAAAGCGCCTCTATAAGACGGAAAGAATATTCACAAGAGGTTTTTCACGCAGACAATGCAAGGAGCTCATTAAAACTGCTAAACATGCTACACGAGGAGACACGCTAGATTAGGCTTCGGTGCCCCGCTGTTTTTATTATGCAACGTCCTGCAACCCTGCTCTTTTTCCTCCCGACACTGCAGCAATTCTCCAAGGGGGTCAGGGTGTGTGTGTGTGTGTGTGTACGACGCACACGCAGCGCGCACGCCCAAACTCGCACACGGGGGTGGGGGGTGGGGGTGAGAGAGAGAAAAGAGAGCGGGTTACCTGTAGGAACGCTCCCCTCGCACTGTATGCTTCCTGAAAGGGATGATGGTGCCGTTATCCTGGATGATGTCGTTGTTGTTCTCTCCATTTGGGGACAGCGCTTGAGTAGGACCAGGCATTGGAGCGCTCCCAAAAGCAAGCAGCCCAAAACCTGGGTGCCTGGGCGAGGAGAGGCTGGGACGGGCTGGGCTGCTGCTTTTCCCTTTACTACCGATTCTGTCCGATTCTCTCTTCGCCGCCGTCTTCTTTCCCCTCCTTTCTGGTCGGTGACGTCAAATAGCCGGGAGCAGCACCCAGGCCACGTGACTGGCTCCTCACCATAGCAACCGGCTAACTCATCAGCTCTCCTCGATTCACGCAGAGGGCTTGAGCGCGGCCACACGGAGGCAGCCAAACAGGCGCAAGGGGCGGGGCTAACATCTGGCACGTACAGCCCACTCGGCTTGGCGCCCACCCACCCCCCCGGGCCTCGCTTCCTCTCCGATTTCGCTCCAACCGCGCGCTGTGTAAATGCGGCTGCCGATACAAAGAGCCAGCCTTAGGAAGAGGGAGGCATAGAAGGAGAGCGGCTGCGCACGCTCCAAAAAGACATCCCTTCAGTACTGTATTCGGCTTAGCGGTTTTGTTTTTGTTTTTTTGCCTTCACGCCTCATCCCCCCCGTTCGTAAAATTTTACACCAATCATTCCTGCCTTTTCAGACAAGTCGGATCACAATCAAAACATGCGATCAAGTGCTCGAAGAAGCCGAGCTTTAGAATTACGAGGTTCTCTTCACCGTACCATAATCATCCCGGATGAAGCCTGGAAAATGTGCACAGCATGGGAAGTAGTTCTCAGCAGATAAAGCGAGGGAGATGGCGGGCTAAAGGCAAGTTTTCTACACAGTTATGTTTAAATGGCGATTACACTATTCTCTTTCGCTTTTTCCATTAAGGCGACTTATTGAATTTTCAGGCAAAGAACAACATGATAAAAAGCTCTTCCCACATCTAAGTATGGAGACAAGCAAAGAAGCATTTCGTATTCTACCCTTCCTTGGCAATAATAATTTATTACAATTATAGCCCTAGCAAACAAAATGAAAAGCCTTTTGTTCATAGCTTCATAATCCACTAACATCTCCATCCTCACAATAGCAAATTATCTTTGGCCCCATGACTGAAAGCAGTATCAAAACCACTGAGATGGCATCAATAAACTAGATATTAGAATTGTGGACATAAATCCTAATAAGGTGTTTGTATGGTATAATCCTCATCACTGTCATCATAAAATCACTTCTCAGACACTTCCTTATTTATTAACAAAAAAGAGTAAAGCAATGCTGCTAAATTTTTACAGTATTAAAGACCTGACTATAGTCTGCATGTGTTGTTAAACATTTTTCATTTTCCTCTTATATACTCTTAGCAGGAAAAAGAGTATCTAAAAACTCCTTTCTTAAAGGCTTTTGAAATCACCTTGAAAAGTTTAAATGCATTTTAAATACCTCAGAGTATTCACTGAATCTTTTTGATGGCTTTCTTCCTTCAGAATATGCATGAAGAGGAACCTGGCAGTTAAACGCCTTTTGTAAAAAGTAACAGATCTTAACAACAATCTTGTTAAGTACTCTAACCCACACTCCTTTGGTCTCAAGTGTCCCTGCCTGACAATTGTTTTCATCTATTTACCATAAAGTAATAAATAAAGCTTTGATTTTATAATCTTTTAAGCAGGGAGAAGAGTATCCACCCAAATTACAATTTTTTTTGAAGAGCTATTCCTCCAAATAATAGATAACTTACTGTGGATTTTACAAGATTAATTTAGGTCATGTGAGCAAGTTGGAGAGCTATGGAGCTTTTCTGAGTGATAGGCTTAGAAATTTCAGAAGAAAGGACCAAATAAACACAATTATCATTTATTTTCTATGAATTCCTAATATCTGTGCCTACCATATTTTCTCCAAAGCTGCCTAGGGTGAAGTTCATATCATTACATACATGTTATGTAACCTGTTTCAAGGATGATTTACAAAAAATAAGATTTACAGACCACAAAGAGCCAAATTAAAAAATTGTGCTAAGTAAAATCCAAATAAATTATACCACATTTAAAACAATTTGTAAATCAGTGTGAAATAGTTGAAGACAAAGGCTATCTGCCCATATATAATTATGAAATAATTTTGCCAAAATGATCCTTATCCTAATTTTGAAAATCTAGATCACTATATCATATTAGCTTGGCTCTTTATTTGTTTTAACCTAACGTATTTCAATATCAGTCAAGGTAGGTGGCATCATCTAGGCAACATGGGCTAATATATTTTTTTTAAAAAAGAATTGGATCTGGATAGTACTTTGAATGGAAGATCATCAAGACATCCTAGGTTTATAGTGTAGACTAGAAAGTTGAAAAATAGCCTAGAAGAAGAATGTGAGAATCTACTTTTACATCATTGCCTTTTATTTCCATCTCAATTGTGATATGGTTTTAAGGAAGCCTGACTTCAAAGGAATTGAGAAAAATCTCTTTATTTTTGGTGGAAAAGAAATGTATCACAAGTGATGCCAAACCCACTCTAATATTTGATGTGGGGGGGAAAGCATGTATTAATTTTTTCTTCTATTCAAGAAAATAGAAAGTGGCTGGCCCAAGGTCATCCAATGGTCATCCAGGCTTCCTTAAAACCATATCCAATGGGCCTTGTGTCTAAGGTGGGAGGAGAACTCATAGTCTCCTGATGCTTTAATCACTACACCAAACTGGCTCTTTAACTATTCTTTATTGAAAAGGTGCAAATATTCTTGCCAAACAAATAATTAAGCCAAACATTCTCAGAAATGTGCTATAATCTGCTCTAGTTATCCACATTCATTACATTTATTAAGAAATATTGACCAACCACAATCATATTCTTCCACATCCATACTTCTTTTTAAAAAATAGAACAGTAGACCATTATACAATGAGTAATGCCAGTTCTCTGGAAATTGATTGAATTTCTCAGTCAGGATAACTGCTGTGCTACAGTGTATCCATAAATGTTGACACTGCAATCAATAGCTTTTTTTCTCAAATAAACACTGAACTTCTCATCTTTCTTTACAAGTACACCTTTATAGGCATTTTCCTCCACATTTATAGTCCTGTATCTTGATTATGGAACAAATAAGGGAAAAGACATATCTTTTCATATCAGATGCTCAAATTATTTACTACTTCTTGCTTTGATTCTCAAATGCATAATGTACTGGCCCTACCTACTCCAGGATCCTGAATTCTGTCCAATAATGTCTCTATTTTTAATGTAAAAGCTCATCTCCACTCAGTGTTCCTGACCGTACCCTGAATAGGAACTACAAGATCATAAAAATGGAATTTTTAATGTAGTATTGATACATCTTTGCACATTATTTTAGCTATATTTTATATCTGAAGGATTCCTCAAAAACACTTTTACTCTTCAGTATTTCAAAAAGTTTCAGGATGCAATCACACCCCCTTCAAATTCCACTTTTTTAAATTAAACTTTTGGTAAAGCTTTTTGGTTTTCATGCTCTTTGTAATTCCACCTACCTATTAGTATTAACTAATCTAGCTGAAGCAGTCCCATTCTGCTTTTCTATTTACTTTAATTTTAAAAGTTTGTACTTTTCTTGCATTTTCTCTGAGCCACATTATACCATATTATATTATAATTTGCCAAAGGCATTTATCTCTCTTCATGTACTCTGCAAAGTATTCCATATATTTACCATGCTATGTAAACAGTAAGGCAATAATAGTTTACAGCACAACTGTCTAACCATTTGGCTTGCCTGGGTCACATTGACTGAAGTGGAATTATCTTGGACCGCATATAAAATATTTAATATAGTTAGTGTATAAACTTTCTTTTTTATATATTTTTATTATCTTGCAGGGCTGCACTAGCTGTCCAGGGCCACATGCAGCATATGGACTGCAGATTAGACATCCCTGATATACAGTAAATATTTAAGTATCATTATAGATGTTGGATTGTATAAATGTTTTATCTTTCTTTGAGAAATGTACTTTTGATACTTTCTTGCACCATTAAAAAAATAACATGACTACAAAATAACTTAATGGATACATTTAAAAAAAACTTGGAAACTATGCTGAGATAATAGTTCTGGATATTGTAGCTACCTTTTAAAAATTGAAATTTCAATGTTTACTTCATTGAGCCCATTAAGCAAATTCTAAAAATACTGGATATAATTGTAGCATTACGTGTTAAATTTGTTTCAATTCTGAAAAAAATCAAGTATATTTCCAAGGAGACCTATTCTCAACATTAGCTGTTTTATTCCGTGTTTGGAAAATAAAGGTATAGAACGGAGGTAAAATTAAGGTATAGAACGGAGAAAAAAACAGCATACATTTTTTCTTTTTTCTTTTATAATAACAGTTTTGCCAGAACTATTCCGAGAACAGAGAGAAGAAATGATATAAGTTCCATATGGATAGCAGACATTTTAGCCTGGCTGACATTCACTGCTTGGAAAAAATGCACACATTACAGATGTACTTAATTTTACCATCATCACAAGCTGCTACAAATATACTAAGTCATTTAGTAGGGTTCCATCTTCCACGGCTATAGTTGTTACATCCCCCTCAAAGCTCCACTTCCATTTATGAACCAACTGACAAAAGAACACAGACTGAAAGCAAGTAGTTAGAATATTGTTTGGTTCTTTTAAACAAATTAATAAGTAGTAATTTTTTGGACTTTGGGAACTATGTCTAAAGAGAGCACTTTGCATTCATCCTCCCTCCACCAAATGAAAACAAAGAAAATGTTTCATTAAATAGAACAGTGCAATTTAAAAAAAACTCAATAAACTAAATATCTTTAAAACATGCTTTAAAAATATCTTTCTCCCAGTATTTTCCTTTCTTTCTGCATAATGGGTAATTCTCATCGGAACAGAAGAACCAGATTCAAATAATATAGCATTAAAATTAAAAGACACTAACATATATTTTGTTAGCATAATTTGTTATTCCAAGAACAACTTTGAGAATTTTTACACTAGGATATTTTATTTTTTGTGTGTTTTTAAACATGGCTGAGATTGTTACAGATATGCATCCCATGGTGTTGCTACAAAGTTGTGTAAGAAAAAAAAAGAAAGAGCACATTCAAATGTGTTTCACTCAGTTTGCAAACTAAGTACAGTATTTTTTCCTTTTTTTTGGCTCAAGGGTCTCCTATGTCACAGCCATTTCTTTTCCT